CTCAGTCCCCTCAGAGGGGACAAGGTGAGCTCCCAGTTGGCTGCTTGGTGTGACAATGCCATGAAGAGCTGCTCAGCAGTTTGTTTTCCTCTGCACACTCCAGCCTGGAGCTGGTCAATAAGAGATGGAAGGTTGCTGAGGGAGCACTGACAGCTTAGGTTGTCCTCATCCCACCACCTGGAGTCCACTGGATCTCCTTCACTTGCTCCACCTGCATGAGAAACAGCATTGGGTCATTGGACTTGGAGGTGTGAAGAAAACATGAGCTTCATAGCTGACCAAAAGTACTTCAAGGTGTGCAAACCATGAAGTTCTTCACCAGGTACAAAGATTTTTGGCTCAGCATCTCTCCTGAGCTCTGCAGGTTGCACCAACCTGGTGCCACCCAGCAGCTCCTCTGACTGGCAGAGGTTGTCACCCATGGGGGAATGACTTGTGCACAGCCAAGGGTTGTCAGGGAGTTGTTTCACCTTGTTTGCAAGGTTGAAGAAATGTGCAGCTGTTGAATGTTGTGCTCTCTGCTCTCACTGCAGTAAAAGAGAAGCTACGTCTGGACCCAGACAGTGAAATTGCCACCACAGGTGTCCGTGTGTCTCTCATCTGTCCGGTGAGTCTGCCCTGGATGTGCTCATGGAATCACTGCCTTGGCTTGGAAGGACATTAAGGACCATCCATCCCACCCCTGCCATGGGTAGGGACACCTTCCACCAGCCCAGGTTGCTCCAAGCATTATCCACCCTGGCCTGGAACTGGAGCAGCCACAATTGCTCTGGGAATTCCATTCCAGTGCCTCAGCACCTCACAGGGAGGAATTCCTTCCCAATATCCCATCTCTCCCTGCCCTGTGGCAGTGGGAAGCCATTCCCTGTGTCTTATCCCTCCATCCCTTGCCCCAAGTCCCTCTCCAGCCCTCTTAAATCTCCTTGAGGCCCTGGAAGGGGCTCTAAGTTCTCCTTGAAGCTTCTCTCTCCAGTCTGAACACTATCCCAGAACAGATGTGCTCCAACCCTTTATTTTAGACTGGTTTTGCCAAGCCCCACAAATCTCCTGCTTTGCAAACTCCAAAAAATCTTCTTCCTTCAGCAGGGAAGTGTCTGAGGGTTCCTTGGGTGAGTTTCCTGGCTGATGTTGTGCTCTCTGGTCCCACAGCTGGTGAAGATGCGACTGTCTGTGCCGTGCAGGGCAGAGACCTGTGCACACCTGCAGTGCTTTGATGCAGTCTTCTACCTACAGATGAATGAGAAAAAACCCACCTGGATGTGTCCTGTGTGTGACAAACCTGCCCCCTATGACCAGCTCATCATTGATGGGTGAGTTTTACTCCTCTCTGCCCTCAGCCCCTTCATCTTTTCCACTGGGTGCAGCATCACATCACTTAGGCTGTGTAGGTGGTTAAGTGTTTTGAACTCAATTCTGTTGTTCTTCTGAAGCATCTTGAGGAGAATTTGCTGCCTCATTCCTCATCAGGCTGAACTTGCACAACCAGTGACACTTTTGCTGTTGGAATAAATCACTTGATAATCACCCCAGAAGATGATTTTTTGATAGGCAACACCTTGTTTTCTTGTTAGTGTCAGGTGCTCAGCAGCTCACAGGGAATTCTTGGCATGTTCTAAATGGGTTTGGGAATCTTCTCCACCAGCCATGAATCTGAAGGTGCTGCTCTCAAGACTGAGGAACAAATTGTAGAATCAACCAGGTTGGAAGAGACTTCAAAGATCGAGTCCAAGCTTACTGTGATTACTAGGCCAAATCCAGTGTTGGGAAGAGCTTGTTCAGTCTGTGACTTCAGTCCAATTCCCATGGCTTTTGTGGAGATCTTGGTGTCAGGGATGGGAAAGATGCCTCAGTAGAA